GCTGCCCAAAGCAAGCCTTCTTCCTTGCTCCCTTTTGTCTTTTATTTTCCCCAGTCCTAGTTTCCCTGAGTCTGCAGCAAGTGTTCTAAGATGACAGCGTTAGGAGGACAGTAACTTTAGAAGAACTGAAATAATAGTTCATAATAGTTCATAATGTGGGTCATAAGAAGTGATATAGTACCAGTTTGGGTAGAGATCCACTTAAGAGTCAAATGAACAGAAGTGGCAAGGAGGACAGGAGCAAGTGAAAAGTAAAATTAAATGTTTCTGGAGATAAATGGAAGCAGCTCAGTGTCCCCAGAAATGGGAAGTAAAAGAAATTATAAGGAAATGCAGGCAGCAATTAAGAAAAGTCCATGTGCCTGGGGGCAGTTGAAATCCGGCAGGGCAAGTCAGAGGGGTGAGCGCCCTGTGAGTCAGGCTTTCCAGGCTTCTGAAGAGCATCCTGTGAACTGGGAAGGGAAGAGACTGCCCTTAGCAGTGGGATGAAGGCTCCAGGACCCGCTCCATGGTTCCACTATGTCTGGCTGGCAATTGATGAGGGCCATGGTGGGGCAAGGGCAGCCAGGCCAGGGCAGCTGGCAGAGGCAGATCAGGCTCACAGCAGATCAGGACAAAGAACTGGTGCCCCTGCTGAGGGAAGTGGAGGGTATCCAGTCAAAATATCCAACTTTGATTGTTGCCAAAAGTGAAAAACACTTGCACAAAACTCTTTTGCTCAAAGAGAATAGAGAAATTAATGCTCTCCTTTTTGTTTTAAATTTTTTTCCATTCATTCCCCTGCTAGTAAACATGCCTATGGAAGATTGGGGCTGACTTGTTTTTATTCCCCTTTCTTCATGGGAGATCCTATCTCAGAATAAACAGCCTCTGTGGGACTTGTTCAGTTTGGGTTGAAATAGGAACTGTTTTGATTTGGACTGCAATATATACTCTTTTTTTAATGTGGTTTCTTGGTATTTCAAAACAGCCAATTGTGCAGCCCAGCATGTGCTGTTGTTGATTGCAGGAGGAGTGATTCCTTTGTTGAAGCTCACATGGAATGCTGTGAACTGAGAGTTTTTATGGCTTTGGGACACTAACTGCCACAGAACAGGTCCTGAGATCTTCCCTGCCAGCAGGGCTGGGGCTCTGCACCTTCTGGGACATGCCAGCTTCTCCTGTGTGTCCCAGTACATGGGGGAAAGCCACAGCCAGGTGTGCTGTATTTGGAGGAGGAAGTTGGAGTTTCCTAACAGAAAACAGTTCTGAATTTAATCATCAGCCTTTTCCACTGCCATCTGCTTCCTGCTGCCATGTTCCCTTCTTCAGGTGTGTGGGTGAGGGATGGATATGGAGCTGGGAGCTGGCGTGGAGGCTTGTGGTGTCCCAGTTCTGCATGGGCAATTCTGCCCCAGAGCCAGCCCGGGCATGTAGCTTAACTGCAGCCTGCCTGGCTGAGGAGTAAAAGATTGGAAATTGTCATTCCAGCTGAAAGCAGAACCAGGAAGAGCTGCCCTTCTTCTTCATGTACCTAATGTTGTGGCAGGCACGGGGACGTTGCCAAAGCAATTGCTCCTGTCCTCTAGGCACTCCCTAGCTTGCAGGTGAATTATGATCTGGAAGTGGTGCAGAGCCCAGCATATGTAGGACAGGACAGCAAAACTGAGATGGAGGGGAGGAGGTTTCCTTGGGGTGTGAGTTGGTGGGTGCCGTGGGCTGGCAGAGACTGGGGAGCTGGCAGGGACCCCGGGGGCTGCTGCCCACAGCTGCTCCCTGCCTTGCCCTGGCATCGGGTGTTCTGACATACTCTGCTTCAAAGAAACTGCAATAGAAAAATGCTTTTGCTAAGCACTTCCCAGATGAAAGAAACTGTCTTTGAACAAAGTCATGGAAGAGCACGGGGTTACTGGCAAGTGTGGCATAGAGCCATAGAGCCTTATCTGTCCCTTGGGGAAACTTTTGTTTTAGAGATGCAACACTTCCGGAGGAAAGGATGATCTGTGGCAATTGCTGAAACTTTCAGGTTCTTATTTTATTTGGTGGGTTTGTACCTAGAGTTTGCCTGTGAGTTCAGCTGTGTTGGGATATATAGGCACTCTGATGTGGATGCAGCAGCACATATGGCAACATCTTAGGAGTCCAGGACAGAGTCTAGCCTTTTCATAATCAGCAGACAAAAAAAAAATTAGGTGGAGTGCCTGTCCTGGTCCTCCTGGTACTGCTCTCTTTGTCTCCAGACAGATGGAGCCAAACCTGTCTGCTCAGCTTAACATTTGTGGACAGGGAGCTCATTGGAAACAGCTCAAAACCAGCTGCTTCTTCACGTCTCACTGTGACAGCTCAGGAATATTAGGAGGGGAATGAGCAGAGAAACAAGGAGGGGACTGAGGAGAGAAGCCATAACTGCTACCCCAGCTGCAGAAGGGGAATGAAGCCACGGTGTTGGAGGAAGGCCCAGGCAATTGCTGGAGTTTGTTAGATGCTGCATTATATGTCTGGCTTCCTGAGCTTCAGCTGCAGCTCCCACCATCCCTCAGGTTTCACCTTCTCTCTTTTTGTCATGACCTCCTGGCCACAGCTGCCCTACAGTCATTCCTCACATTGAGGAAATCCCACTGTCTCTTTTTACTGCCACAGGGATCAAAAAAGCACTAAGTGTTAGTGCTGGAGCTCTGTCATACAGGATACTCTTTTCTGTCCAAATCATGCCTTTCTTCTCCCAGGCCCCTTTAAAGCTCCATTGGCTTTCACATGAGCCAGTCCCAAGCAGGGTTGTGCCATGGTCCTACTGTGCAGCATCATCCTAGTGGGGGAAGAATCAACACTCAAATAGGGACTTCAACCTCTCTGCTTTTTTTCAGGGGTCTCTGAAGGCAGGAATCCCCATCCCTGTGGGACAGGAGCTCCACATGCCTTGCCCTGGGCTTTTGGGAGACGGTGATGGTGAAGGTGTGCCATGGGGTTCAAGAGCAGTTAAACATGTCTGGGTGACAATGCTTTCCCCAGCTTGGCGAGGTGCTGCTCACTGTCATCTTGAGACAACAAACAGGACATGGTAGCAGGGAAGCACACCAAGACAGGGACAAGGGACAGACGGCCAGAGCAGGAGAAGTATGGCTGTCTGCAAGCACCCAGCCTTAAGGTGAAGATGCTGAGATGCCCAGCATGGTGCTGAGGACAAGACAGAGCTCTCTTCTCCATAGCCTGCTAGCCCTGTAGCAATGTCAGCTTGGTTTTCCTCCTCTCCAAAAGCAGCAGGAAGTTGCTGCCATTGGGAGAACCCTTTGCCTTTCCTGGGAACCCTGGCTGTGAGATCAGGACATTGGCTTCCAAGGCTGGTTCTCCGAGGATGCAGCTGCCATTCACTCCCCTCATCTGCTTCTGTGGCATATCCACTTCCTGGCCTTTCCTCCCACCACCTGAAAGCCATCAGTCACTGGCCTGGGTCACCATGGCTACATCCCAGGGTAAAAGGCATCTGGGGAAGCCTGGGCAAGTTGGGAGGGAGGGTGAGCTTCTAGTAGGAAAATGCTGGCAATGATGGAGAAGTGTTGCTGCATGCACAAAGTGTGCAGTCTGAGTTCAACCAGCCTGAAATTCTAAAAATCACTCTTAAACTAGGTAGTCCTCACTACATGCTGGCAGCAGCACATCTTTTCCTTTCCTTGCTAGCCTTCCATGTGTGTTGTGTGAAGGTTCTACTTGGGCTCATACTGTTACATGCTAAACTAGAGCACATGGCAACTCAGCCACGTCCTACTGTCACCTGAATCCAGAGGCCAGACAGGAATGTCTTCCACCCTTATGACTATATCTGAACTGGAGAGCATCAGCATAGCTAGGGTCATCTCTCTGGCAGCCTGTGGGACAATAGAAGAGCAAAGGAGATGGTCCTCATCCCAGGGAGCTGGGCCTACACCCTGGCCCTACATCGGCTTGGACCTGGTTGTTGCATCTGCTGTTGCCAAGATAAGGTTGTGGGGAGTGGAAGGTGGGCTAGCAAGTTCTCCCTGCCCACCCTGGTGTCCTGGGCTCTGCCCCGTCTCCTGCCCCTTCCCCAGGCCTGGCAAGGGACTGGTGGAAGAAGAACCAATCCTCACCTTTATACAACCTCTTTTCAATTGCAGAGAGCAGTAAAGTTCTGTTTAAGCCTTCTTTTCTCCAGACTAAACATGCCCACCTCTCAGCTGCTCCTCATAGGACTTACTATGCAGACCCTCACTAGCTTTGTTGCCCTTCTCTGGACTCTCTCTAGAGCACCTCAATGTCCTTCCTGTAGTGAGGGGCCCAAAACTGAACACAGAATTTGAGGTGCAGCCTCACCAGTGCCAAGTACAGGGGGACAATCCCTGCCCTGATCCTGCTGGCCACACTATTTCTGATCCAGGCCAGGATGCCACTGGCCTTCTTGGCCACCTGGGCACACATTGGCTCATGTTCAGCTGGATGTTCATCAGCGGCCCCAGAGTCCTTTAGGCAGCTTTACAGTCACACTCCAGCCTGTAGCCCTGCATGGGGCTGTGACTCAAGGGCAGGATGTTGCACTTGGCCTTGTTGAACCTCCTGGCCAACTGAACAACTGGCCTCGGCCCATTGATCCACCATTCCACTAATCTGTGTGAGACTGCATTCCCTCTTCTCATCCTACTCAGTCCCTCTCCGCTAATATTCTCTTGTTCCTGCCAACTCTATAAGGTATGTCTCAACACCATCATCGAACGCATTCTCCTCCCGCCTGAGACTAGAGGATGATTCCCTCCGCCACCCCCTTCTTCACCTCCCATCGCCTGGCCGGTGCCCCGTGTCCAGCGGCGGAAGGGCCGGGGTGTCCGAGGGGCTCGGCCCCCCTGTCCCCTCCCGGCGCGCAGCGCCCATGTGTGGGCGGGCTTCGGGACGTGCTCGCTGGGGAGCGCCGCGGCGCCGCACATGCTCACTGGCCGCGGAGGCACCGCCGGAGGTAGGGGCTCGCTCCGCCGCCGGAGGAGCCGCGCTGTCGCTGCGGCCGGGCCGCGGCATGGCCCGCCCGCTCCCGGGCCGCCTCCGCCGCTGAGCGCGGGGCTATCGCAGCGTCTGGCGGTGAGCGCGGGGCGCGGGCGGCGCGGCCGTGGCGGCGGCGGCGGGGCCGCGTGTGCGGGCGGGGGATCGAGGGTCCGGCCCGAGAGCCCCGTTCCGCCAGGCGCCACGGCCGAGCCCCGTCAGCACCTCGGCCAGCGCCGGTGGGGCGGCGGCGGATGGCGGTGGGGCACGGCCCGGGGTGCTGCCGGGGCCGCCAGGGGAGCCCCGCTCGTCTCGTCCTCCCGCTCCCCGCGGAGCGCGGTAGCGCTGGGCAGCGCGGAGGCCGCTCCCTTCCCCGTGCTGGGGCCGGTGGGAGGCCTCGGGCCGGGAGGCCGGGCGAGGGGCCGGGGCGGCAGGGGCAGATCCGCGACCTTTCTCGGCCGGGCCGGGGGAGAGTGGCGATGCTGCGGCTCCAGGGGAAGGGGGAGCCTGAAGCATCCCGGTGCCACCCGGAGGTGGGGGAAAAGAGAGAGATGCACAGCTCTTTGAAAACAGTGGAGAGGAAAAAAATCCAAATAAATAAATAAAAGGGGGAAATGCAGCAGGTTCCGAGGCACCTGCGAGATTTCTCTTGAGCCAAGGAAATACTTGGGAATTATCTGTGGGATGACAAACAAATGGAAAATGCCTTGGGTGCCGCAGTGCTGTGGCCAAGGGCAGGTGGAGCGGCCTCTGGCCAAACAGACTCATCTTCTGGCCTTTGGGGTACGTGCTTTTGCCACAGAGAAGTTTAAATATTAATCTGAGCGCGATGCAATAAAGCATAGTATTGCAGGTTGTGTTTAGTCATCTTTGCAAGGCCCTGTCAGTGCTACCTCTGCAGTGGAAATGCTTCATGCAGAATAGTTGTGTTTAAATTCTGTACATAAACTTATGTTTATAACCTCTTCTCATAACCAGCGTTGGAATGATTGCTATTTTTTCTGTTCAAGGTCGCAGAGAGCTTGCAGTTCATTGTCTTGCAACATGACTGGTTGACATTGTATTTAATGCAGTTGATGCATTTCTGGTGAGGAGCCCTGTTTCCAAGCTTCTGAGTATTTTCAGTTAGGCAGTCTTTGAAGGACATCACATTTCTTAAACATACTGATGCTAACTTATTTAAATCTGTTCCTAACTGTCAGTCTCAACTTTGGGAAGCTACTTGACTCTCTGGAAATTGCCTAAGTCCATTTCATGTGAAGGAAACGTGAACAGATTGCCTCTCCCAGGAACAAGAAAAAAAAACACCCCCATGAAACTTTTGTTTACTTTTTACAGGTATGTGTTTCCTTTTGCCATATCCAGCCCTACTAACATGGTTTTCTTTTACCACAGACTGAAGATTTCTCTGAAGCATAATCTTCAAGATGAAGTTCTTACTAGTGATTTTATGTTTCATCTCATTCTCCTTATGGTTTGAAGAAGTCTATTCCAAAGAGAAGTCTTCAAAGAAAGGAAAAGGGAAAAAGAAGCAATATCTATGTCCATCGTATGTTCCTGCTTTCTTTTATGCTTTTGTATGATGGGGATCCTGCCCTGTTTTTAACAGTAAAAATTATGTGGCAATTGAAGTAGAAGGTGATGCTTTCTGCTGAAAGGGTGGGATCTGTAGTGAGAGTGAGTTTGACCAGCATCGTAATTGTGTTCCTTCTGCAGCAAGTCTTCTGTTTTAGTGCAGGGGAAAATCTAAGCCACAGTAGTTGTTCCTTCCCTTGTGGTGGATTTCAACCCAGTGCCTTGCTTTATTTATGGGGACACAGTAGCATGGTCCCATAGTGCTGTGCTGTCTAGCATCATGTTGCAGGTGTATTGGGGAAAGCAAGGAGGGTGCAAAACTGTCATGCTGAAATTCAGTTTCTGGTTAACTAGTTCTGTAAGAGAAGGCTTGTCCCACACTTATTCTTACTGCATGTTGAATAAAACTAAGGTCTTAAGCATCTTTCATCAATCATGTACAGTTCTATAACTTTTTTGGAGGTGGATATATTGATTGTTGCTATAAAGTGTGTCGTTATGGAATAGTCTCCCTGGAAAAATACAGAAATTATAATCTGTGATTGCCCTGTTGAATAGAGGATGTGTTCTGGACAGCTGTGATTATTTGTTGATAAAAATACTCCCTCTTTTTAATGCCTACATTTTAGGTTGTGATCCATAGGACAATATTTTATTTGTGAGTGCTTTTTTATCATTTTCTTGGCCAGCATTACTTGTTTTTTAGTGTTACATTGTAAATATCTGAGAAAAAGATTGATGGACTATGATAAGTTTCCAGTAAGTGTAGAAAATCAATATGACTGAAATAATAAAATTGTTTAGACAAACTTAAAACATAATTCTTCTTTGACCATAAAAGAAGAGATGCAGAATGTTAGACTGGCTATTTAACATTAACCAACTTTTTCCAAAGAAAAAACAAAGTAAAAGTGGAATAATCAGACAGAAGCATTGTTCAAGTATGACTTTTTTAAGTTTCCACTCTTTTCAAATATTGATAGTGATGTTTACTTTTAACCCCAAATTTTAGAATATTTCTACATATGGTGCATGTTTTCCTTTGCTTTTTTTTAATATATCAAACCTAAAAAAATTTTTATTAGATTTTAATATATTAAGTTATTTCTCAAATGTAATAATGACTCGTCTGAAATGGCCCGTACCAAATCTTTCCCTTTTAAAAGCTGAGTTCTGGATAAGGCTTTTTGTCTGAGCTACTGTGAGAGTTTATAGCAAGGAGAGCAATGTCAGGGTTCCCAGGACAGGCAACAGAGCAAAAGACCGCTGAAAGTGAGTTAGGTAGTTGGGAAGTGAATACAGGTCTTCCATGATCTTGTTTAAATAGCCAGCATTTCCCCCTGTTCTTGATTTAGTCTTAGTAAAATTCGAAACAGAAATGTATTTTATCTTTGTAAGTGAGTGGATTTTTCTTGTTTGTTTTTATTGTAAGCCCTGTATTTCTTGGTACCATTAAATATAATGTAATTTGTCACGAATATAATTGAAAAACCATTGAATACATGCTATCATTTTCAAAGTGATACCTTTCCAGTTGAAGCTGTCTGCAAAAATATTGGTGGAATCCAGTACTTGTTGATCTATTGTGCAGTGTTGCTTGCAAGACTTGCTGTAGCAATGAGTCCTACTCAATCTCCTGAATAATGACCAAGCTGTCTATATCTTACTTGGTTGAAGTTCACAGCTTGAGAGAAAACCACTTGTAATAGTGGGGTTGCAGTTTCTGTGGCTGCCATCCAGAAGACCTATCATGTGAATGAGCAATGAAAATTAACTCTGGCAGAGAGATTGCCCAATGCTCTCTTAACTCAAACTGCTGTTGGCAAACTTCCAGTCATCAGCATTTTATAAATGATCTTTCACAAAATTTCTTGATTTGGTGACACTCTGTGTTATAAAAGAGGTTGCATACTAATAATAATTTTTTCTTTGTGAAAAAAGCTAACAATCTTTCCTCAGAATCAAACCAAAATAAAGCACAGTGGACAGGGAATCAAGTGACACTATAAGGATTGACTAAAACTACTTAAGGAAGTGTCTAAATAAAAAAAATTCCTAGTAATGCATGAAGAAATATTGTAGAATGCATTTTTTTTAACAAATAAATAGGATTTGCATAATTTATAAAATTGAGTGCTACAAATTCCTAATGTAAATGTACATTTATAAGTTAAACTCTTAATCCACTTTTAATTTGCATTGATTACAGGTGCAATAAAATTTAAACCTTAATTGTGACAAATTATTGCCTTTTATTTCCTTGCAACATGTGAAAAGCTAAATTTTACTTCTTCAAGAGAACAAAAAACTGCATTAGTAATTGTATACGGAGCAGTCTTCTCTTGCAACCTTTATAATGAAATTAAAATCTATGCAAATCATTATTCAGGAAAAACTTATACTGAGTCTCATATTGCTATCTGAGTTCCTTAATTTGATGTTAAGAAATGGGTGGATACAAGAAATGGGTGGTTTGAAACTTCAGAATGAATTTGTTTGGATAAAAATTAAGCATACTTGAATTTTTCCTTTTATGGCTCTCCAGAATACAAGCTTTTCGCCAATATGCCCCTCTGGCATGAAATTAACTACTCTAAGGATAAAATGAAAGCAAGCTGATTAGAAACCCCATTAAAAGTTCATTATTGTCTCATAAGCAGATATTTACTTCCTTAAATTAGGAAAATTCTATTTTGTATCTTAGAGCAAACCATTGTACTTCTCTATGCATTGTGTGATAGTGGCTTGATTTGCCATCTTATTTTCATTTATTCCTGAAACTGTTTTTCCCAGATTTTTATTGAAGGGTTTCTTGAAGCTGATGCTTAATCATTTGGTTCTTACTTTGATTTAATGCTTTCTCAGAACAGATGTATGATTTCACATCTTACCTTTAAAAAATTTTCCTTCTTACTTCAGGCTTTCCAAATGAAATATAGAGTAATTATACTTCTGTCTCTTTCCTGAATCTTTGTTGATTAACAAAGAAATTGACATAATTTCTTTTGGGCCTAAAATGTTGTAATAGAGAGTTTCACACCATAAATCTGGGAAACTGGCTTCCACAGATACATAGTGCAGTGAAATACAAAGCTTTAGTAACAAAACTTTTGCCTTATGTTTCCATGGAAAATCTTAAAAAAATAATCTGGCCCACTCTTTCAAGAAAAAAAAATAGTGTATTATTGTTTACAAAGCTTATTTTGAAATTTCATATACTTAATACAGATGATTTTTATACAGCTACAGTTGGAATAAGTCACTTGATCTCTTTCCTGCTCACAGTGCCCATACTTGCATGACTTTTGTTACTTAGTTCTTCATAATTCCTCATAATACCTTGCTTCTCTTAAACATGTGGGACAGTTAGATGTGATTTACAGCACTGATGAAATATATCTTTTGTTTTGTTATACCATAATAAATACTTTGGTTATTTTATAATGTTTGAGCTGCTGCTGCTATTCCCACAATCCTTAGCAGCCTAGAAGGTCTCTGCTCAAAATTACTCACAAGATTTCTAGACGATTGAAATAATAAGGAAAGGGAAGTCTGGTTATTACAGTGTTGAGAAGGAATAGAGTAAGAAGAGTGTCACATAGGAGCTAACAAAACCAGTAATGATTGTGGTCATTGTCACAGCTGTTCCTATTAATTATAGTTTTAGGATGACTCAGCTGTTCACTTGCACAGCGTTCACTTCTGAAGATCTCTCAGCGTCCCTAATGCCACAGCAGTGCTGAGAGCAAAACCTCAGTCGCCAAATCTCATCCTTTTGTCTGGATAGCAAGACTGTGCTTTGAAGAGCTTCCCTCTTCACCTTTATGCATTTGTCCACATGGAGATTTATATATCCTTGTAGATGATTTACTAAATACTGTATAATATCTATAGAGACCTTTTTTACTCACAAAGCAGGAGTACAAATCATATTTGGCTTGTATTCAATAAAGCATATCAGCTACTTCAGAAACTGTGAAATGGCCCTCTAAGCCCTCCAGAAACATGGCTTGTGCCATCTGCCCAGGCAGAAGCTTAGAAAGGTCACAGATGCAAAGGTTCAATAAACAGCTTCTTTTGAAAAACAACAACAAAAGACAGTTGGAACTAGGGAAAAAAGGCTTTGATGTGTTTAAAGCATAGAGTTGTATGAAACTGTCCTAAAATTTCTTTTGGTTAACTTTAAGCTTCTGACATGCTCTTCCTATTATGACTAAAGTAAAAGTTGAAAATATATTTTGTACCTTGGGTCCTCTCCACTTCTTCATGACCTAGAACTTTTTTTATCGAGTTTTTGGGTGTACAATGCCTCTCTATCTGTAGTAGGTGATCAAAATGTAAATGGTGGAAAGTGGCATCATGTCTCTCTTCATTTCCATCATCTAGAAGACACTGTTGATAGTCTGTGAATATTTTCTTTTGTAGATGTGGTGGAAGGGTTGATATAGTTTGTAGGAGGAGGTGGAATGACGTTGAAAGGAAAGCCTGAATTTGGTTGTGAAAGAAGATATATCTGACAGTCACTTCAATGATAAGTACTTTGCAGAGCCCAGGTCTTGTTGCTATAAAAATTCTTCTGCCCTATAGTAACAGCAGTTGGTCAATGCTTTTGTTATTCTGTATCATGTAACTCATGGAAAGCTGTGATCCCAGACAAATAGGGCCACATTCCAGAAAGTTTGTGAATTTGTTTTCAAAGTGGTTAAATGTGGTGAGCAGTAAAAGATAAAGCTATATAAGCAAAACCAAGCTGTCTTGTAAAACAGTAATTAAGCACGATAGACTGGTTCTCGTTCAGTAACTTTTCCTCTCAGTGAGTAGTGTTTGCTCCATTCTCAGCACCGGAATGATGAGACACTATAATTGTGTGGCAAAGTTACAGACTTTGTATTTCCTATACAACCTCCAGACTGAGAAAAAACTTGGATCTGTGGGTTACATTGCACCACCTTTACCTAAGCCCAAGGAAAACCT